GGTCCCCGCTCGGTTAACTGTCCATATTGCGCCGATCTGCTTTTGAAGCACTTTTCACCCGTGCGCGAGAGTTTTATGGTTGAATTAAAATTAAATTTTCGGCTTCTTATTCCCGTCTACCTACTGCAATTGTGAAAATAAGTCCATTTGGTCACGTGATAGTGACGTCTATTGGTCTGACCGTAATCGTGGGAGGAATCCGTGAAGCTCCGTTTTTACTGGCTACAGTCTTTGTGGGCTTTTTACAGCCTAGCGTTTTCTAAACACCAGTCTAATCGATTTCACAATGGCAAAACACGCTACTGGATAGACAGGCACTGGATTTTGTGAATGTTTAAAAGCCCTCTTAGATGATGCCCATATTAAAATAAACTGTTTGGTATTCCAAATAGAACAGCTGCACACCACGCCGAACCAGTTTGCCCTACTACAGCAAAAATAGAATGCTGACGAGCAGACCTGTGTGAAACGTTGGCACATTCCCAGAGCAGGATGCTGCCAAAGCTGTTTCGCGGATAGAAGCGAACTGACGCGTTCCAGGAGGCAGTTAAAAAAGAAAAGATGCGTACGCTAGAACAAGAAGTTTACTGGCCTGACGTTTCGAATCCTCACCCGAACCCATGATCACAGAAATCGCAGGTAAGGGTGGCAGATGCACATGGTGCGCAAAGCATTTATTGGACCCGCAACCACGTCCCTTGACTGTGACTGTCTCCGATGATGTTTCCGAGCGAGAATCGAACAAGGAATACCAGTAAACATCTTGGTCCATGGATTGCGTCTATTTATCAGTCGTTTTTCGTCCGACACCAAGCTTTTGCCCATTGGACTTGGATTTTGATCGTCGACATCACAACTCGCCAGCTTCAATCGCCCGGTGAACGTGACGCACTGCTTTAGGAGATTTTGACATTTTTCTGCATGTCAATCCGTGGTTAGACTATGCCTGAAGGTATTGCCCCCTCCCCCCCCCGAATATTGCGCCAGCGTACTTATTAACCGTTGTCGGCCTTCGCTTAAGACCATTCTACTACCAGCTCGATGTAGGTGCAGTGGCACAGCTGTGAACCAGCCTGATTAAGTCGACCTCGATGACGTTGCGTTACACGTCGCCACGCTTGACGATCTGTGGCAGATCAGGAAAGATCGATCCATTCTCTTTCCCCACCGAAAGATCCAAGAACCACTTCCGTGTCCTGATGAACTGTGTCGAGCCAGGTTTAGAGTTGACCTTTTCTTCGATGACTCCGGGTGGGTGGTGGCGCCGTATCAAGGAGAGTAATACCGAGCTTATGATGCGGACAACAAAGAACGCACACAAACCACCTCAGTCGGCTTTCTTGTTAGTCTGAGATATCCTCGCAATATTCGCGTATCGAGTGCGGACTTTCTCATTGAAAATTAACCCGGTGAATTTAATTCCATCGATAGTTTCCAGGCAGCGAAACTTCCCGTTTTGGCTTAACTTCCGTGTATTAAGCTCACCATTCCTAACTGTGTTGGACTGGCTAGATGGATGTCCGGCATATACTAATCTTTCTGACAGTGGTGCTGTCACGCCGGGCTCATAGACGTCATTTAAAGGTTCTGAAAACCTCGTGAGTAGCATCCAATCGGAAGACGATATCATCCTCACTGCTCAGCAGCCTCGCGGGCTTTTCAATTTGAGCCGCCAGTTTTCCCCTCCCTCTATTCGCATGTAAATTTTCTTATATACACGTCGGTGGGCCTACTTCGCTCATTAGAAACCGATTTTTTATCCTCTTTGTTTATTTGAAGTACGATGAGGTCATGAGAGCACGCGGTCACAACGCTAGGACTGTTTTGAAAGCAGTCCAATTTGACCTATATTTGACGACTTTTCTTGGGACATTTGTCCATGATGTCGGAAATTGCGGACATTTGGGATTATGGATAACTTTTGATATCCCGTTGTTGTGAGTTTGTGCGCCTGATTTTATTCTTTAAGAACAGAGGACGTGTTTTGTTGGAAATTTTGGAATGATATTTTAAAAATAAAGCATATCAATCTCACTCTCTGTTTACGTGCTCAAGTTGACGGCCAAGGACCTATTTTCCTGGTCAAAGCTCTTCCTAAGGCTCAATGATAGCCCGATCAATGAAGAGACTTAGTTTAACCACGACAGCAGTCACGGATGTGAGCCTTCGCGGAAAACCGCACCATAACCCGTTGTCTGTAGGGGCCCTGGTTTTCGGAGGGAGTTTGGTGCCAGAGGTAGCAGCTATCGACAGTTTTCATGTTCATTTCCCTCAGTATTAATTTTTAGCCTTTTTTCCTGGGAGGGGGTGTCCGAATCACTTCAAACCGAGAAAGCATTGGAAATCCAGGATTCACCGACTTTTAAGACAATAGAAAAAGAGACTGTTAGTCCTAGCTGTGTGCTAGGAGTACGCACGCACCGAACGGACCTGCGTCACCAAAAGCCATATATTTTCTCTCATTTTGTAATCTCCTTGCCTCAATCACATGATTAATACTCTCGTATATGTAGTTGCCTACGGTAAATGTTTTGAAATATAGGGTTTTATCAAAGCAGCTTCACAGTCACATGACCAAAGTGCCAGTTTCGAAGGTGCCCCAACCAAGAAACTCAGCTATTCCCTCCCTCCTTCCTAGCGCCTACTGGTGTAATTTTGCCTAAGAGGGGAGGGGAGAAATTTTACTTCCCAGTGTCTGTAAATCTTTCCCTTGACATTAGGCACCCTTCTATTGGCAATAGTAGCATATACTCTCGATGGAATCGAGAAAGTGAATTCTAGGCAAGCAGGCAGACAGAAGAAGGCGCAACATGTTTTTGTTAGCCGGAAGTTTCTGATAAAGGAGCCAAGTCTGCATCAGAAAGGTCAAACAAAGAAAACTTTTGTCCCAGTGATCGCGTCGCGTTCTCGGTGGTAGAATAAGTGTGCGGTTTTAGTATGATTTTTTAGTCGATCGGTGGGGTGGTAGTAATAGTGTCCACCCCACAACACGATAGTTCGAACATTGATTTCGACAATGTCCCCCGTATGCTTCGAAGTGTGGTGAAGGGATGGCGAGCTGCGCACGAATTAGTTTTAAGTGATAGTAGACTTGCGTGCATCTACTGCACTCTCTTCTCTCAGTCGTCCGAACCCGGTGTAAAGACACAGTTAAGGTCGGAGGCAGGATCGAGCACAGGTAGCTGGCGTGGCTGAAGTCACCCCTATGCGCGCCAGGAAGCCCCCATGTTCTATGTTCATTATCGGTCAGTCCCCACCTTTATGCCGTGTACGAAAACCTCATGGAAAAATGCAAGAGGTGAGAGCCGATCGATACAGAAGAACCCAAACAGCAACCACTAGCACTCAAACGAAATGACTATTGATTTTTTTCACTTCGAAGCGCGCCATATGATTGCTGACATCCTTCCGCACTTTCTTGCGGTATACAAAATGTCAAGAAAAATGGAAGAGGTGAGAGCTGATCGATACAAACTGATGCAAACCACAGCCGCTAATTAGCGCTCACACAAAATAACTATTAA